CCAGACCATCAGGACTTATTTGTCTGTCTTCAGATTAGTTTAGAGTTTTTCAAACTGTTGATACACTCAGTCCTGTACACGTTGACCAACACATCAACCACAGCCCTTGAGTCAAGACGAATTAATAGGCATTCACTACTTTGGTCCCATGAGGTCAAACTCAGAGTGTGCTTACTAACATAGCACACGCTACTACATAGCATCCCTCATGTAATTATGGTGTCACACGCACTGTATAGGGCTGAAAAGTATGGCCATTTCTGTTATTTAATACATTTGGTTTGTATTTTTGTGGCATTGTTTAACTAAAAGCAACTACATACAGTATTTGGTGCAGTCACATGTAATCAAGAGATAATGTCAATGGAATTGCATGTTGTCACAGGATAACAGCCTCCTGCTGTTGCTGAAATGCCAAATTGAAGCTGAGGCATTTATGGAAAATAAACGTCAAGTCAAAGCCAAGATGTTTATTTTAAAAACAAGAGACATGGATCTTGTGGCAGTGTTCCATCATGTCTCTATTTCTCTAATAACAAATGTCCAACGAGAACAGAGCCAAGTGACAGTTTCTTCCTGGGACAACACAGAGAGGGTGAAGCCTGATCAATTCACATGAAGACTTGGAGAGCTGTTTCTCATCTGCTTTCCTTCAGTTCAGGTTTTAGTCAAACTGTCCAGGTAAGCAACACAAAATGGTTTCTCAGATGTATGCTAAGTTTCAAAAGGGATTTAGGAGGACAGGAGGAAGAAAAGGGGACAGCAAATGCAGTTTTTGTTTGCTTTTACATAGAACTTTTTGTCCAGAGAAAGAATGACAATAACATGAAGCTCACTGAACTCAGTGGGAGGCCTTCCAGGCATTTCAGCAGGCTTTGACTGATGCCTTAGGAGAACAAACAGTTAATATTTTAAGAGGATATTATGCTAATAATGACAGTACCTGAATTTGATTGCAATGAGGACATGACTGGACCAAGGCTGGACAAAGAAGATAAGATCCTTTTGGGTCATAAGCAGCAGCCCAGTCACCCCTTGCTCCTGGCAGGCAACTGCTCATCCCAGCTGCTGGCCCACAGAAGATTTCTGCTCTACCTACGCAAGCCTCACAGCCACAGAGAAACTGCTCCTTCACTTCATTTCTCCAGAAAAGCTTCCTTAAATCCAGCTGGTTACCTGGTAAAAATGATAACTGTTTATTTTTCTTTGCCTAGGGAAAACTGAAGGTTACTTGTCAAGACCCAAGTTGCTGAGATGTGGTAAGAAGCCACGTTAAAGCTAAAAATAAGAGCTGGGAAAGTCCAGTCTTAGACATGATGCAGTTTGATTCAAAGATGAAAATTAGGGTTTTGATAAACCCAAGTATAAAGGCCTCAGTGATGAGACATCCACTGCCACTCCTGGCAACCTAATGGGTTTGATGTCCTAAAAGCTCTTTCAGATACTCATATCAAATCTTTCCTTTCATCACATTACCACTCATTAAATCTCCTCGTATTCATCTAAATTATTCCTCTCCCTCCCTGAAAACTTTTTCTTCCTCCAACTACATTAAGAGATTATGTTTTCAACAAGCTAAAATTGTCTCTTCACTCTCCTCATCTGCTAACCCCACCATGCTTCTGTAAACATTCGTCACCTCTCTGCCGACATCCTCGCTCTCCAACCAACCTCGCAGGCCACGTGAGAGTGCCAAGACGTGGTACCCAGAGCTCAGAGCATCCCTGGAGATCCAGGGATGGGCTGCAGCAGCAAGTCACCTGTCTGTCCCCAGGACACGGAGCTGGGCAACAGCAAATCCACTGCCCCCGGTGCTGCCCCAGCCACCGCAACACCAAAGGAAGGTGTCAGCCCCAGTGCCCAGCCCTGTTCCAGTCTCCTGCCCCGCTGCTGGTGCTGCTGACATTCCCCAGGGCAGCGCCATGTATGTAGATGCATACCTATGCAATAGGACCCTCATCTTGCAATCTGTTTTGCACGGAGAGAGGCAAGAGGACAAGCAGGAAGCTGTGCAAAGCATCTCAAAGGACTGGGTTTAAAAATATACCTAGATAACCTACTCCAGTTCCTGAAAGGTTGAAGCTTCACAGCTCATGCCAACAGGGTTCCTCAAATGCAATACATTTTGATTTCAATCGGATCTATCCATTATGCTCTGCGCAACATAAGACTGATTTGTCCTAAAAACTACTAAGAGTTTGTTTGGGTTTTTTTAATGACTTCCAAGGGGAAAAAATAGATCAATTGCCGATTAAAAACTGTGATTGGGAGAGCTAGTAGAAACAATCCATTTCTGAATGGATTCAAGAGCTCTTCTCCTGACCTGATACCCTTAAATAATATGCAAAAAAAAAAAAAAGAGCTATATTAAAATCATGTTAAAGAGCTGTCTGAAATTCAAAAAACCAAGGAAATTCTGAGTTAAAGGAGATTTGCAAAAGGTAATGCTCTGAAAGGGGTTAAGCCTACTGTGATTATTTGAGTGCTCTGTGCTGCAAGAGCCAGAGGGGTGTTCTGTACAGAAATCATAAATTTGCTTATTTTTTCCTTTGGAGATGCATTGTTTCCCAAAGACATTCTGGCTCCAGCTCTGATCTGGCATTCCAGATTGATGCTTGTTGAACCAACAAAGATACTGGGAAGCAACGCATGATTATGCGTCTTCTGGTTTATTGCATACTTGCTAGTAATTTCCTTTACTTCTCCAACCTTAAAGCTTACAGGAGGATGAGGATCTCCAACTGGAGATCTGATAGCACAGCTTGATAGGCAAAGAGCTGGCATTTGATTAGGTTACATTTTTTATTAATTGTACAACGATACTAGAGCAATAATGGATCTGAACAGATGACAGATGGATGATGCTCCAGGAATAGCAAGCAAAACAGCCACATGGTACCCTCAACACTGTTTGCCATTGTCAGTGTCATCTTCGAAAAAGAATTTAAGATTTTATCAGATTTTGATCTGCTTGATTTTGCACTGAAATGGACTACACACACTCACAAAATCCATCCAAGAGTCTCAGCTGTGAAGGCTTTGGTGTGGTGATGCACCACAGGACTCGTACCTGCTTTAAGTGTTCCAGCTAGATGTAGAAAAAAAATGTGTTTCTACCCCCAAACTCCTCTGTCCTAACCTGGTTTCAGATTATTATTTTTTAAAACTGGTGTTACAGATACCAGCCCTGGACAAATACTCCCAGCTGCAATCCTTCTGGTTTTCATTCAGCATTAGGTCTCCCTCTGCTCATGAAGATGCCGTACCTCCCGCCCTTCCCACCAAACAGGGTCGCGCTGTGCTCCAGCAGATGACGAGCAGCAAAGTCCATGGGAACGTGAGGGAATAGTTTGCCAAGCAGCAGGTCCGTGGCTGGTGTGTGGCCTTTAGTCAGGGTTAAATAAACAGCGTGTAAATAAATAAATAAATAGCTCCTAGGTTGTGACCTTGTAAATCAACTCTAAGCCTGGAAGGGATTTTTATGGTCCAGCTGGAACAGCAGAGCAGTCTTAGCCGAATAAGTATATATAGGGGGGAAAAAAAATAACTGTGCCTTCCAGTTGCTCTCAGACTGCTGCGGGGAATGTTTGGTGCTGCTGTAAGACATGCCGAAGATTAAAAAAAAGGAAAGAGGGGACCTCACTCTCATTTACCCAACAGCTGTTTCACATTATTTTAAGAGGTTTAAAAGAGGAGTAAAACAGTTAAATGCACCCAAGAGTAATCTTCCAGGTTCAGAGCCAAATAGAGGGCTGAACAAGTAAATGAGAATCCAGCCCAAGTAGTTCCTAGCAGCAGGTTTCATGGAAGTGGATGAGAGCCGGCCAGGGATTTGCTCGAGGTCTGTTATCTGAGCATTACAGCCCCGGGATGCTTCATGTGCTTTATTGCTCATTACCAAATAACAGTGCTAATTCTTGCAGCAGTCCCTAGATTTAGTGTGGTTTGACCAGACAGGGTAAAAGCTGCATTTTTAAAAGTCCAGAGAGACCTGTCCAATGCAACAGAGGAAAGCCAGAAACCAGGAAAGCTGGGACTTCCACCTCCCAGTCCTGCAGTGGCTCGGTCTGGCAGGGCTGGGGAAGATGGAGAAAACGAAGCTGACGAAGGGGAGAAGCCATAGCCACAGACCCTGCACAGAGCTGGTAGCACCATCCCTTAAGCCAGAAGGTTTTACAGGGGGTCCCAGGCTCTGGGGTTGTCTGGGCTGGGGCAGGGGACACACATAGAATCATAGACTGGTCAGAGTTGGAAGGGACCTTAAAGATCACCTAGTTCCAACCCCCCTCCATGGGCAAGGACACCTCCCACTAGACCAGGTTGCTCCAAGCCCCATCCAACCTGGCCTTGAACACCTCCAGGGATGGGGCGGCCACAGCTTCTCTGGGCAACCTGTGCCAGTGCCTCACCACCCTCTCACCTCCATTTATTCCTAATATCTAATCTAAATCTCCCCTCTTTCAGTTTAAAAACGTTACCCCCCATCCTATCGCTGCACTCCCTGACAGGCGCCCGTTGCTTTTCCATGGAGAATGATGCCAACAGTGCTGGATGCGGGCAGGGTGCAGGCAGGGCGCAGGCAGAGCGCAGGCAGAGCAGCGATGGGGATACAGGCAGGGGGGACACCACGGGTCCGGGAGGGGCGGGGCGGGGCGGGAGGCTCCGCCCCCCCTCGATGCCGATTGGCTGTCGGGCGGTGGGGCGGGGC